CCCCGACCCCTTCCGCGCGACGCACAAGATCCGCCACGGGCCCTCCAAGATCTTCATCGCGCCCGTCTCTCCCAAGCCCGCCTTCGAGCCCTGGCTCGACGCCGCCTCCATGCCCGATGGCCCCGAGCGCGACGCCGCCATGGCGCGCAACGACGCCATCGCCGAGGCCAAGAACGACTTCGAGCGGAAGCGCAACAACACCGCCGCCACCCGCTCTCGCGACCGCAAGCTGCGCGCCGTCACCCACCGCGCCGAGGCCATCTTCGCCCTGCAGTCGGAGGTAGAGTTCTGGAAGGCCCGGGCCGTGGGGCTCGGCGCCGGGGTGGGCGACTGGGAGGGGCTTGACGAGAATGTGAAGCGCGAGATGGTTGCGGACCACCGCTGGGATGCGCTTGATTTCAGCAACGACGCGACCGAGGAGGAGAAGCGCTTGGCGAAGCAGGCCAAGGTGGCGGATGCGGCGGCGAGATCGAGGAAGGCCGCTTCTCGCAAGAAGAACGGGAAGGGTGTTAAGAGAAAGGCGAAGGACATGGAGGAGTGATCATGCTGCTTTCTCATTTGTTTCAAGGACGCTTGGTTGTTTCGGGCGGTGGCTTCTTCTTGAGATATCCTTGGTTTCTCTGCTTTGGCATGGCCTGAATAAGTTTGCGGAAAAGGGTGAAGGATTGTTGGTTTACATGTAGATGTCACGAAAAGTTTGGAGTCTTGCCGGGTTTGCTGGGTTTATCAAGGATTTCATATCCATCAATTCGAAGGTTGTCAGTACTGCAATTGCCCACGTCCCACGCGACACAATGCTATCTCGGTGATTGGAGGCAGACCGAGATGTAGATGTTGGGCCGTGCCATGAAAATACTTGGAGTGAACTTGGTGACCTATACCTAGCCTCGTCAGTGCTCGCCGTGTGCTTCCGAAGCAAAAGATAAGGTCGAACATTTCTTATTAGCTAATAAGAGCCAGTGGTATCTCTATCAAAATTCATCAAACACCCACAGAGCCTTTCCCTTGATCCTGACTCTGAAGACTGCCCTTTGGTCGGGGGGGCCTCCCTGTACCAGATCCTTTCTGAACCTCAAACTCCAGTCGTTACCCAGTTCCCAGCGTCCTCAAGTCACGAATCATCCATTGCGATCCATCGTCATGCTTTCAGTCGAAAGCCATCTACCTTCCCATTGTCTACTCGGAGTTCGACGACCGAGAAGGCTGCTTTCCCTCCGCCTTGAGACTAAGGCTTCCCATCTCAGCGCCGTGGCCCGTCGAGATGCCGTAGCAGTCGGGGTCCGCAAGACATCCCTTGACGAAGTAGAAGAGAACCACAATCATCATGACCCTGCCGCTCGTTAGCATTGACCTCTCCTGAGAAAAGAGAAATCACAAGACTTACCAGTTCACAGCACCAACGCCCGCCGCCGCTGCCATACTCGCCCCGTACCGCGTCTCCTCCGTCGTGGGCCCAAAGCACGTGCTCCCAATACACGTGTTCCCCAAGAACAGCGACGCGATGCTCGCGGACCACGCCCACCCAGAAAGCCAGAAGAGCACGTTGACGCCGTACGCGATCAGCAGCGCCAGGCGGAAGTAGAACTGCGGCGCGAAGCGCTCGAGGGCCATGGCGCCGCCGAGGATGATGAGGGTGAAGAGGGACTGTCATGCATCGTCAGCCAAATTGTACTCGCGCCTGCCCGACGTCGTTCGCGATTGCCATGCGGAAAACCAGGAAAAGAAGAATTGCATGCAATCAGCGACCATGGAAAAGGAGGAGTGACATACCACGAAGAGCATGAAGCCCGGCGGACCGGCATAGCTCGCCTGTCCGCCCAGCAGCGACAGGTTGTAAGCGCAGGCGGCGAGCACAGCCAGCGACAGCACCATGACGGCAACGCGCAGGATGGAGAAGAAGGTGGGCGTCGGCGGGACGCCCTTGCCCATGAGGCCTCGAATATTTGCGCCGGCCATTTTTTGATGTCGCTGCAAATTCGTAGTGTGCGATTAAGTAGAGAGTCTCTGTCGTCGTCGATATCGATTGCGATAGCTCCGATGGCAAGGTCCGAATAGGTATTAAAATCGTTCTCGTCCCTCACAACTCAAAAAAGGCCAAGCAACATGAAGAAACAACAAGTCAGTTAGACGACAGCATGCGCGCGCGCAACTCGCCCTTGGGGAACCTCCGTTCCTTATACCTCCCGTCACCATCTCCTTCAAACACACATCGCCCCTAGTCCGTGCTACCCGGGGACCTGCATAAACAACAACCCCCAGAAATAAGAGATCCAAACGCCTTGTCTGCGCCACAAAAAAAGAAGAAGCAACAACCCGCCCAGACGCATATCCCCTTTTCACCATTCCTTTCTTCCTTCCCTCAACCTCATGCCTCACGCCTCATGCTCCCCCCCCCACAGTTCACCACTCTAAAGCCAAAAATCCATGCAGTCCCGGGAACGACGGTTGATCGACATGGCCAGACAAAAAAGGGATGCATCACTGCATAAAGCACTTTAAATTCAACAAGCTCCAGAGACATGCCTCTTCTCGCAGTCAATTGGCCAGCACCGCTCGGCAGTGCACACAAAGGGCCCCACTCCGACGGGGCCCGTCGATCACCCAGCACCCGGACCCTCATTGGACAGAGCCGGCAACCGGCCGCGATCCTCCCACCAGCAAGCATTTCGAGGAACCAGCTGGCTGGCCCAATTTTCGACCAGTTTCAGATAATTCACCAACAATACCGTTCCCAACCAGGGGGCTTTCACTCCTGCCAGCAAGTCTAAATGCGCGCAAAAATCTGTTCGTTCGCCGTCGTCGATCCACGTCGACTGATGTATGGATTCGTATGCATGGCCCCTATTTTTAAACACTTCGGTTGAACAATGGCATGTCGCAAACCGGCATCCACTCATCGTCGTCCCTCCCCTCCATGACACTGACAGGCGAGTCTGGCATGAACACATCACACCAAGATGGGACGACCTCCATCCTCCAGCACACAAGAAGCCCAGAAAAAAAACGAAACATCGAGAAACACCACCAAGAAACGGAAAATACCAGGAGGATCGCGTGCCAAAACACAACATGTGCGAGAGAACGCCCCCTCAAGACATTACCTCATCCCTTGAATGGCTCGACGCGCGCACGCCCAAGCTCCTCCCTGTCTGTCTGGTACCCGACTCCCAAGACCGCGTCAAGAGTCGAGGCAACCTGCAATTCTGTGACGACACAGCCCCTCCCCTGACCCCCTCCATCTGACGTCTTAGCCACTTGGCTCGCCTACCCCTGATTACCTAACTCAACCGTCCTTACCACATTCTCTGTCCCCAGATCAACCAGAGGACACGGACAGCCAAGGCCGTCGTCACCAGTAAATCCCATCATCGTAAGAATATCAGCGTTAAGAGAAAGCCCGATCGCAGCATAACATAGTCTCCCGTGACCATGAAAAAACCGAAGCAGAGTTCACCGATCCAGCCTGTCCTGCCCTCCCTTACAACCTCACGCCAATCATGTCCCCCGCATACGAACCCCTCCACCCCGTTCATCCCATTTCATCAGACGCAGGAATGGCAGATCGTACTTCTCCCATGCTAAGACCGGGATTACGTTGCATAGCACCCATCCAGATCGTCGCTTCGCCCGAACAGGTGGGCGCTGACATGAGCAGATAACGATAAGCTTGAGAGTCGATTGCCCCGCGCTGTGTCGTGACAACGCAACCGTGACATTGCAAAGTCGAGACGGTCACCTGCTAATTTGACCGGAGCATTATGTGGATTTGATACAGATTCTATTGTGGCATTGAGGAACTAGCAGTCTATCGCATTGCGCCGTTCCCTTCTCGTGCATTACTCGTCAATTCATCCGACGATGATGATAGCGATGACACTCCTCCCAAAGTGTCCCCGCGATCTTTACTCCCTGGCTTGTATGATTTCAAAACACGATCGAAGCGAACATGACAAGATCCCTTGCCTGCCTATATCCCATAAAACTCGAAATACACTATACAGTCTATCGCCTTTTAAAAGTTTGCGACGGCGACAGCAATCGCTTGCGACTCCGAGTGTGAAATGGAGACGCTAATGTCCTTCAGACCGACCTTCTTGGCGGCAGCGGCGGCATCACCGTGAAGCTGTGACAATGTTAGCCAGGCTCATCATTCAAATCATGTGAGATAAGCTTACCTTGACAACCGGGGCACCCGACTCGTCCTTCGCAATCTCAATGTCCTTCAACGGCGCACCGGCGCCCTTGCTGGAGACACCAAGAGACTTGAAGACGGCCTCCTTCGCACTCCACCGGCCGGCGAATGAGCTCTGGGGGCTGGGTGCCGATTGGCAGTACTGGATCTCTCCAGCAGTGAAGTTGCGCTCGATGAACGTCTCGTTCTCGATGTTGATAGCAGTGATGTCCTCAACGTCAACGCCGACGTTGCTGCTCTTGGACGCCACCTTCTTGGCCAGGGCCTCCATCATGTCCTGAGTGGCCTTGGAGGCCGTGGGTGATACGGTCTTCTCAGAAGCCTTCATGAAGTTGGAGGGGTAAGAGATGGTCGAGGTCTTCTTGTCCTCCGTGACGCGAGCGTCGGGGTTGAGCAAGACCTTGCTAAGCTGCTCGTCCGTGTACGGGGCGTTGGACTTGGCGACGAACAGAGTGTTGTTGATGAGGCCGTTGTGGAAGAAGCGGTAGGCCTTCTTCTGACGGGCCTGAACCTTGGCGGAGTACTCGTCGTACGTCTTCTCGTCAAGGGTAGCGAAGAGGTACTTGGGGTGAACACCGATAGCCTGGGCACCCTTCTGTCCGAAACCGAAAGAGGTGACGGAGAAGGCCTTGATACCGTCGGTCTGGATGCTGTGGCTGGGGTAAACGATCATGTCGAACTGCTCCATGACGGGGTCGACGTTGTCGGCGTTGCGGTTACCCGGGACCAAGCCAGTGTTGAGAACTTGCAAGCAGCCGTTCATCATCCAGGCACCAGCAGCACCCTTGGGGTGACCGGTGAGGTACTTCTGGAAGATACCCATGACGGCGTTACCCTTCTTGCGGCCAAGGTGCTTGAGCTGCTGGCAGATGACGGAAGACTCGTTCTTGTCGTTGGCCTTGGTCGAGGTTCCGTGGAAGGAAGCGACGGCAAGGTCGTCGATGGTAAGACCCCAGGTGGCGAGGGCACCACGCAGAGGAGCGATCTCGGGGTTGTTCTTCCAGAAGTTGTTGCCCAGGCTGCGGAGGACCTCCTTCTCTTGACGGTCGGCCTCCTTCTTGATGTGCTCGGCACGGTTGTGGGCGTACTCCTTCTCGTTGAACTCGGAGCCCTGGGCCTTCATAGCCTCAACCTCGTCGTAGAGGTACTCGAGCTCAGACTCCTGCCACTGCTTGATCTGCTTCTTGCGAAGGGTGATCTGGCGGCGGCGGTAGTTAATGTCGAGCAGAGGCGAAGGGAACTTGCCGGCGTGCTCACGGGCAGTCGTGAGGACACCCTGGCCAGGAGCAGGGACGGAGCGGCCAATCTTGTCGGTGGCGGTGGTAGTCAGAGCCAGGATACCGTGGATGGGCATGCCCATGTCAAGGGCAAGCTTGGCAGTCATGAGCAGCTGGACACCGCAACCCTGGGACTCCATGAAGCCGTTACGGGTGGTGGTGGTGGGACGAGACATCTCGGCCGGGGTGCGGCCGTGAGCAAGCTCGTCGACGGCGTTGCTAGTGGCCTTCATGTTGGCGAACTCGTAAGAGCCCTCCTCACCGAAGTCATCGAAACCACCGACGAATACGACGCGAGCCTTGCCCTCCATAATGGTCTCGTAACCAATGTCGACGGACTCGACGGCAGTGGCGCAAGCACCGACAGGGGTCTTGATGGGACCGGAGGAAGAGATCAACAACATGTTAACCCAGGCGGCCATGGTGTTGATGAAAGACTCCTGGAGAATGTCGTTCTGGACGGGCTTGTCCAGGAAGCGGTCTCTGTGCATGCCGCGGAGAGCGCCAGCACCACCCATACCGGAACCGATGCAGTTACCGACCTCGGAGACGTGGACGTACTTGTAGAACTCGTACGGGTCGGTGATACCGGCGGACAGGAGAGTCTCGGCAACGGAGACGAGGACGAAGAGTGTGACGGGATCGACCTGAGAGACAATGTCCTCGGGGATACCGTATCTCTTGGCGTCCCAACCAGTGGGGATCTGGCCGGCAACGAGTCTGTCGAAGCGAAGTGCCTTGGGGATCCAGAGAGCGGCACCCTTGCGCATGCGAACAGTGTACTCGCCGGACTCGGGGATCTCAAAGATCTCAACCTTGTCACCGTGCTGGCGCTTGAACTCCTCGGCGGTCTCCTTGGAGGCCTCGAAGGGCTCGAGGTCCTCCTCGATTACAACCTCGTGGAGGAGCTCCTTCTGGTTGGGGTCGTAGCCGCCGAACAGCTCAGGCTCGATCAGACGGATACCAGAGTGCTCCAAGATGAACTTCTCGTACTTCTGCTTGATGTCCTTGTCGTCGACGGGCTCGCCAGTCTTGGCGTCAACCCAGCCGGAGTAAGGAGCAGGCTTGCCCTTGATGGGGCCGTTGTGGTTCTTGATCAGGCCCATGATCCAGGCCATCTCAATGCATCCCTCAAGAGAGAACTCGCCGTGAGCCTCCATCTCCCAACGGGTGCGGGAGTTACCCCAAGGACCGACTTCAGCGAAACCAGTAACGACGACAACCTTCTCGAGGTCGACCATACCCTTGAGGCGGTCGTTGAGAGGGGCGATCTCGTCGTCCCAGTCGGGAAGGGTGGGGAAGTCGAACTTGATGTTGGCACGGGGCTCGATAGTCTTCTTCTTGTACAGAGCCTCGGAGTTGGGGCCATTGACGACCTTGTCCTCGATGGAGTTCTCCTTGGTAACGGCGCGGCGGACCTCGCTGGTGTCCATGATGTCCTTGCGGAGCTTAGACATGGTCTGGTTGAGGTCAGGGATGAACTGAAG